GTGTTCTGAGCGTCACTTTGTTCGCTGTGATGATAAACGATATTGGTGACTCCCTTCCAAAGTCAGTCAGTCGGCTTTCTCTTCGTGGATGATGTTACCATCTGGGACGTCTCTTCAAACTTTGCTTCTTCGGAGCATCGCTTGCAGTTGGCTATGATCAGCCTGGAAAGATGGAGTGTTGTAGACGGACTACGTTTCTCAACTTCAAAAACAGTCGCTACGCACTTTTGCAGACGACGTCGTCAATGCCCCGCCATGGCTTTAAGGCTATACGGCTAGACCATTCTGAACCAATCTAATACCCGCTTCTTGGGTCTGCAGTTTGATAACCGTTTGACGTATGGGTCACATCTGAAAACCCTACGTACCAGCTGTTTTAAAGCATTTAACATATTGAAGTACGTGTCTCGAACATGTTATGGAGCAGACAGAAGAACACTGTTTCTGCTATACTGCTCACTTATACGTTCGAAACTTGACTATGGCTGTTTTATTTATGAGCGCGCCGGGTTCCTGCAAGCGTTTATTAGACACCGTGCACCATATCGCATAACGCATTGTGACGGCGGCATTTGGGACGTCGCCAGTTGCTAGCCTTACCGTGGAAGTAAATTAACCGGCGTTGGCACTAAAAAAGGAAATGGTTGGTATGCGATATTTTGCAAGCTGGCTCAATTTCCAAACCATCCGACTCACCGAGCACTTTTTTCACGTGATGCTGAAAGCTTGTTCCAAAGTAACGGAAGGCCGTCCACTATTCCATTTGGTATCCAGATGAAGAAGCTGTTGGCGGAAAGCGACATAAGTTTGCGTAGTGTGCTGAGGTATTGGTGCATCCATGGGAGCTAATCTCACCAAAAGTGGATGTATCCCTTTCATGCATCAGCAAACAGGGAGCGATCCCATGCGACTTGAGATCGAGGGCTCTGGAGCACATCGCGTCGTAAAGAGGTTTTCAAGCCTCATATATTGATGGGTACAGAGCGGAGGTCAGGCGTTGGTGCTGCATTTGTAAATGGCCAAGTCACCACGTCCTTTACCGAAACACCCCTCAGTTTACATGTCCGAGCTCGTTGTAATCAATAAAATCCTATGCTTCAGCGAAGCTGGTGAGAGCAACTCGCACCTGATCTTATCCGATTCTTTGAGCAACCTGTTGGCCCTGACAGGCTTTAACCCACCTTGTCCCATTATACAGGATATTTTAGTTCGCCTGACAGCGCTGAATCTTGCTGGTAAAACTGTCGTGTTATGTTGGATGCCGAGTCATGTGGGTATCGCACGTAACGAGCGTGCTGACGCGGGCGCAAAACGGGCAGCGCGTGCACCTTGCACTCGCTCTTGACCCTGGGCGGCAAGGGACTTTTACCCTGCCATCGCGACCTTTGTGAAGGGGAAATGGCAACGCTGCTGAGACGCCATTGTAAGTAATAAGTTAAAGGTGATCGAGCCACAACTGGGTCCATGGCCGTCAAGCTCACGTAAGTTGAGACGCGAAGAAGTATTCCTCAGCAGATTACGAAATGGCCACACGCACACAGCACATAGCTACCTATTGTGCGACGCAGAACGGCCTAAATGTCCTCGTTGGGATCTTACGGTTCGCCACGTTATTCACTCCTGCCCCCAGTTCAATGACAAACGGGCACTTTACTTTGGACGGGATGCGTCAGATCTTACGTTTTCAGACCTTATTGGTAACGATTCTCGCATGATTGGCGCCGGGCAGCTGTTTTCATTTTTGAGAACCATGGGGGTCACAGCCGTTTATACACCTCGGTGGCCACTTAGCTGTTATGGGCGCAAAATGACCCCAGAAGTCGGTGCGCCCTAAAACTCCAATCGTCATCAAGAAGCGCCTTGGGAATGATATCATACCGACAATAATTATATTTGATTGCATCATTATGTATGTCATTGCAAATGCCAGCTGTTATCTAAATGGCCGCTGTATTGATTTACAGGCAGTTACCATTGATCCCCTGTCATCAACCGACTAGCTGGGAGCGACTTCAAGTGGTGGTGAAAATATTGGCCCGCCAACAATGCATGGAGTTTTACGAAACAGATGCTTTCGTCCTGAGATGGGCAAGAAACGTCACCTTACTGGGATTCCGCAGCTAACAATTATGCATTCCAGTCTCGTGCGCGCTTGTCACCGGTCATATTAATGGAGGCCCGTAGTGTGGTCGCTACACACAGTCTACAGGCTATACGCAATGATGAGACCCCTTTCACCATGCTCGGAGCCGTACAACCATACACCACGCATAGCTCGGAGCTCCTCCCCAGGAAATAGTAGCCACCAGGTGTAAGGCTCACCGGGGAGCAACCACATAGCCCCTATCACCACTAAATTATGCTGACTGTTGGGGATTTTTATTTAGTAGTAGATTTTCTTCGATGTTCAACAGTGTTTTAGGTGGCCGGCGGCGGTCAGACATTTTGTACTAGTACGTGAGCGGCGTACCCGAACGGTCGAATATTTCTCCCGAGAAGAGTGAGGGGCTGGCCAGGGAAATAAAGGGTTGGAAGTGTGTGCTCAGTGAGCTTTCTGACACTGCTATCACCCGTCGGCTCGCCGGAACTTCTCATCGGCTCACAATGCTCCATCGTTGCCCACGAGGATCATTCGCCTACGTCACGCGTGGGGCTGCTTCCACCACTACCCGCCAGGAGTTGTTGAGTCAAGCATCTGTGAAGCCTTTAACCCGTCACGCCAAAAGTTTGGTCGAGCTCGTGGTAAATTCACAGCCAAGCTGTACGCAATATATGAACTATGCAGGATAGAGATATTAAGGCTAAACATGGACCTGACTGCGACGCGTCCTGTCTCATGGTGCACAATTCAGACCGCACATTATTCAGTGATCTGCTTTTTCTCTATAGACTGCTCAATGATACGAATTGAGCGATACCAGGCAGGGGTAAGCACACTATTTAACAACATACGTCATCAGCATACGTGATTTGCATGCTGATAACTATCATCCAATGCAAGCACGGCAGGAGTACACGGCACACGGCGGATCAGAAATAACGCACGCGTACGTGGACTGATCACTCCTGCAGAGCTTTCTTTCTTTGAGGTGTCATAGGTGTTTAAGGTGTCATAATATAACGCAAGACTGTATAGAATAGAAAAGGCCCGGGGATCTCAGTGAACCGTCGAAGTGTCAGAGGCTCTTCCGCCATGCTTACATTTTATAAAGGCGTACGTGCCGACCGTTCCGCCGTCGGAGAGCCAGGTCGACAGGGCTCCCAACGCTGTTGGCCTCATGGTTGTTGGCCCCATGCTCCCAACGCTGTGACTGCCTCTGCATTGTAATGTCTGCACCTCTACTCTCCTTGGCCTTCGATCGGGTCGGTGTTTTTAAAGTGCCGCCCCCTAATGATCGGCCTGACTCGCATGGTCGTAACGAGCGCCCGGGTCAAACGTGACGCACAAAACCGTACTGGTACACTGAGAAGCAGGGAGAGGCCCGCGGCGAATACATACGCCGCCGGCCACATACATTGACATTTATACTGGTACTGGCCTGAAATGCCGTGCGAAACAATCTAGTGGAGGTAGATGCAATTGAGCCTTTAGCATGATGGTTCACAGGCTACATGCATATCCATCGTGCAAGCAAACATGCAACCGATGCAAGTCAAGAATTAAAAGCAAAGTTGTGCCTGGAAGGAATATATTTGACAAAAAGAACCAAGACCTTTGTTCGAAAATTGGTGCCATGTCGGTGCTAAGGAGAAATGTCATGCACACCTGCGACTATACATTCTACCCAATCCCCGAGCTGGTTTCATGCTTAGCACATTGAAACCACCCATTTCAGTGCAGAGTATGGGAGCTTTCGGGTTGGCACTCGTGTATGACAGGTGAATTCATAACGGCTATTGCAAAAGCCTTTGCAAACGAAAGCTGCCTGGGAAAACAGCCTCAATACATCGATTTAGTTTGCAAGAGGCCCGCAAAGCTCATCGACGTTAGCACCCTGGCTGCTTTCACCTCTCATATGATGGCCATTGGATGGACTGATGGACCGCTGGATTATTGGGATGATTACTTGCTACCATCGTTGAGAGACTTACACAAAGATGTGTTCGGTCCGCCATCCTTCTGGAACATTCCTGGCGTTCTTGGTGGTCTGGGTTCATGGTGGGCTGTCGGATATGCTGCGCTTTCTCCTGTTGAGCTCAGTGTCGTCTGTTGTAAATCGAAAGCCAACAGCGTTTAATGATACGAAAAGCTTTCAGAATATAGTTCTCTTTTAATCGTTAGAGGTCGGTGGCCCCGTTTTACCTACGGAGATGTCCTTCTAATTCAAAACGACCTCCATTTGCTGTTGCCTTGAAGTCCTTGAACACAGTAATGGCGCTGTTCAGATCTCTCAAAAGTGGCGCTTTAACGGAAGTTGATAGAGAGCTCTCCCGTGGGTGCCGGTGGAAAGGCACGCGTTCGAACCTACTTAACATTCTCGTGTTTATTTGTCCTGCAATAACAAACATGAGAGTTGGTGACGCCAAACTACTTGATATGTTGAATATATTTCTATCCCTTTTAGTGAGCTAGTGAGTTAGAGTTAGTTTAGATATATCGTTTTAGCCAATAGTGAGAACCATCAGCCTGATGCAAGCTACCAAGCCACGCCCTCTGTTCTGTGACAAACGCACAATAACCTCGCAAACATTATATTGTTGACGTTCTCTTGTAACGCAACTCTCTGAGCTGTCCCAGTGGCGTTGGCGCCCAACTATCCACCGGCACTCTCGTGGTGGCCTACCTGCGCACAGCATGTCGGCCCTCATCGACGCTGACGTCACCCCGTCGGCGTCGACGACCGCCGCGGCTCAGTCCGCTGGTCGACGCGCACGCGTGAGGGTCGCGACAATCCTGGACCCGGCCATCGACGGCGGGAAGACCGCTCGACTCTGGGACAGCAGCGCATTGCCGGGATCCAGCGACCGCCGCCGCACAGAGGGAAGGCTCAGTTACCGCCATGGGTGACCGCGACCAGCGAGGCCTCTCCGCAGAGGAGCTGCGCGTGATCTCAGTGCACGTAAGTGGCAGGGACTAAAGTCGCGTCAACGAGTCGCCTGTGGGGGTGGATGCGAAGCCGGTGTGTTTCCACGTGCATTTTTTCAAAGGATTAGCGGAATAGGAGGAGACCTTTAGCTGCCGCTAACCACGCTCAGCCGCCAAATGATCTCGACGCTTGTGCCTCCATCAGAACCCACCATTTGTAAAGATTCATCAGGAGATGGCGAATCACTTCACGCACAGCGGCTACCTGATCGACCTGTGGAACATCATCAGCGCGGAGCTGGACTTGCGGTACCGCCTGCTGCCGCCGAGACCCGGAGGCTACGGGGCACTGCTGCACAACGGCAGCTGGACCGGCATGGTCGGCGAGCTGGCAGAAAAGGTAACTCACGGGCGTGTTACACCGGGCCATGGATCATCCGGAGGAGAGTGAACACACTCCTCAGACTGCGGAGGGACCTTGGGAGAAGGCATCATACACTTATAACCGCGTCACGGCAGGCTCACCTGAATGTAGAACTGGACGGCGCACAGCACAGGGTGCAGCCTAGAGCTGGACGGCGCACAGCACAGGCTGCAGCCTAGAGCTGGACGGCGCACAGCACAGGCTGCAGCCTTTTAAAGTCTTGTATATGCTTCGGTCTCCCGAATATTGGTGGCAGCGGTGGAGCACGAGATGTAGGCTGCTCTTCCGCCGGCACCTCGGCCCTGCGCCATGCACCAGGGGATCAACGACATTCCGTGTGGGTTTCCCTTAGCGCGCCGACGTGGCACTTGCCGCCATGTTTTACCGTGAAGACCGTGCCGCCGTCCTGGACTACGTGAACATGGCGCCCGTCTGGTCCGGTCACTACGAGTTCTACATGCGAGCCGGCGAGAGAGACACCGCCGCCCTCACCGGCGACATGTTCGCCTCGCTGCTGCGGCCACTACACCAACACGTCTGGCTCATGCTCTGTGAGTCTTGCTCTGCTTTATCAGCACGTCTGGCTCATGCTCTGTGAGTCTTGCTCTGCTTTATCAGCACGTCTGGCTCATGCTCTGTGAGTCTTGCTCTGCTTTATCAGCACGTCTGGCTCATGCTCTGTGAGTTTTGCTCTGCTTCATCGGCACGTCTGGCTCATGCTCTGTGAGTCTTGCTCTGCCTCATCAGCACGTCTGGCTCGTGCTCTGTGAGTCTTGCTCTGCCTCATCAGCACGTCTGGCTCATGCTCTGTGAGTCTTTCGCCTTGTTTTAGCTGATGGACGGCCGGGCACCGACTGCGGGATTTGACGATTGCAGTCCACGTACAGAACGGATAGCTTACATTCAGAGTCATAATGCCTTTTTATGATGGGCTGTTAGAGGCCTCACTCTCTGAATGTGTTTCACGACTATCGACGCCATCGCCTCACAGCACCCCTGGTATTTACTTAGATATTTGTGCTAAAACATCCTTATCAGCAAAATGTCAGTCGTGCAAAATTCTTCACCAGAGTTCCAGGGTCCGTTAGGGCAAGCTGCCTCGTAGCCGTCAATTATAGTTGGAAATATGATGTGATACATAGAATCATTCACTTACACCAAACGATGTAATGTGTATGTGGCGTGTAATTGACGTACTGATTTGCTGATAATCTAGAACGAGGATTCGCAGTTCAAGCTGTCCGCTGAAGACCTTCAAAGCCAGAGCCTTTTTCAAAGGACGACGACAAGCCTGTCGTATGGTGTAAGTGAATGATCCTATGCATCGCATCATATTTCCAACCATAATTAACGGCTTCGAGGCAGCTTGCCCTAAGGAACCCTGGGATTCTGGTGAATGATTTTTGCGCGACTGACATTTTGCTGATAAGGATGTTTTAGCCTAAATGTCTAGGTGAATACCGGGGGTGCCGTGAGGCGATGGCGTTGATAATGAGATCGGAGGAGGGGGGGGGGGGGGCACCTGACGGATCGCACCTGGACGGCCCCACATGGCTACACCCCTTGACTACAGCACTGCGTGAGAACCTCGAGTTTTTGTTGCAACGTTGTGCGTTGGTCTGGCAAAAGGAGGTCGGCTTTTCCGAGAAGCATGTGTATCTGAGCCAAAAACGTCACTGGTATGCTTGGTGTACGTGAAGATACTGTAATAAGTCGCCTAGGAAACGTATAGCGCACCTGCGGGGATACCCAGGTCGATACACTTTACAAGCGGCCGCGCGGGCGGGCGGTGTGACCCTACAAAGCAGCATGTCTGGGCTTATTGACACATGATAAACGGCGGCGTCATAAAATTAGATTTGGCAGATGATCTATTCACTCCGCGCGTTCCGCAACCATATTTCATCGCAGCTGACGTCAGTTCACTGGACAAGTATGTTAACTCGTGCTATTGGCAGGTCCGTTTTACGAAGCAATAGTTGCCTGTTCAATAACATTGGGCGACATCCAAGGATTCCGAGGCGGCATAAAACAGCAAGGTTGTGTTTTTTGGTCTGTAACGAGCAAGACAATTTCAGACAGTAGTATCATGTCTGTATCGATGATGCGACTTGCGGACGCTTGGAGCCTGCGGCGTGTTTTGGGACCAGCACATATACTCACTGTCCGCTCCGATCGGGTGGTGTATCATGTCTGTATCGATGATGCGACTTGCGGACGCTTGGAGCACGCGGCGTGTTTTGGGACCAGCACATGCACTCACCGTCTGTTCCGATCGGATGGTTGATTGAAGGCTAGAGCACCGGTACTACGACTCGTCTTTTCGTCGGCGCGAGGTGGGTTTGGATGATGATCCCTGCATTGCAAAGCTTGGTGAAGCGGTTGGGTAAATACGTGCTACACGGATGTCGATTTGTATTATTTTTTGAAGGCTTCGGCCCCTCAACGTTGAGTTGTCCCCATCCCATGTTGCCTTCGGCCCCCCAATGTTTTTGGTTGGAATACTACAAAAAAGCGTGGGTAAGGGGTGACCATATCACAAAGACTTGAAGACTTCTTTGATCTCCCTGCGTAGTGGCGCCTCGTGGTGCTCTCATAACAAAAAGTCGTGGTTGCTCTCACCACCAGATACAAATCTCAACAGCTGAGCGGATGAACGACGCAATAATCTACACGTACTAAGAGCCATAAATCATACAATGGTTTGTAAGGTTAAGGTGGAAAGCTCTGCAATATGGGGATGACCTAAGTCCTTCTTATCTAACCCGGTCCCTGACTCCACAACCAAAATGTGTGCGGCCTCCCATGACCGTCATAGAAGAGCACCATTTGCGCCCTAAGGAGGCCTCTAAGTCGGCGCCTTTACTTGTCGATCAGAAGCGATGCATGCGCCAGTCCCTGCTCCCTGGATCCACCCCTGCATGACTTTCATGCTGTTAAATTCAAAACGCTGTTTATGAAGTATACAAAGAATAAAAACACACATTGCGTCTAATACAAACCTGGGCTAAATTTGGTGAGGAAAAAGCTTGGGAGGGATTAGACTGTCGGGCCTTTGCTTCAGCCCCCCCCCCCCCCAATTATTTTCAAAAATTGACACCTTGATAAGCTATCTCATCATGCATCAGTCTACTCCAAACAAATCATTGAAGCCTGTGACCTGGTCTGACCTGACCTCCCACAGTTCTCTCTTTGGTGGCGCTGGCCATCGTGCTCGTCACCTCAGTCCGCCTGAGCCGCGGACCCGCCGAGAGTGGACCGACCCGCCGCGAGTTCTCCTTCGGCTTCAGCTGCCTCTCCGTCCTGATGACGGTGACCGGCCAGGGCTGGGCTGTTACACCAGTCTCGGCCCCGGCTCGTATAGTCACCATCTGCAGTTGGATCACCGGTCAGTTGTCACCCTCTTTGCCTGGACCAGTGGTCAGATGCCACCCTCTGCAGCTGAATGATGTATCTGTTGCCGAGCTAATAACCGCAGCCCGTCGAAGTATACAAGTGTGCTTTTTTATTGTTCTTCATGCATGAATTGTTGCAACTAATCGTTCACACCTGAATGAAGGAGAAAGGAAGTTATTTGGGACGCAGCGACCCCACCGGAGCCCGTGCAACATCTTATACAGCCACATGTTGCACCCGGATTAAGCTATTGATTGAGCTAGCAAGGTGATTGCAGGCACAGGCTCTAGATCAAATTGCTAACGGAGTATCCCACTTTGTTGTACATTTCACATATTGTTACATCACATTGTTGCACTATCATCTATTTCAGACGCGTACGCTTTTATCGGTGATACCAGTTTTCTCATGATCCTTCTGAACAGCTTACAATTTTCATTCGAAGTGGCCGACCCCACCAGAGAAACCTCATTTAATATTGCTTACTCACGATGGAAGTAACACACTTCATTTGTTTCCCTTTTGCAAGGTGTGTGTTCTGTGATGTTTCCAACACGCTCATGTGTTAAAATGCTTGTGTAAGCAATGCTACGAAAGCTTGAAACGTTCTGTTGAGATAAAAAGATATGTAAACATAAATTTATTTTCCCGCAAATACAACGAAACGCTTTACATGACATTGATATTTCTTCTATGGCGTTTACCTTAGGGCTCTTCTCAAGGTGCGCTTTGGCGGTAGGAAGAGTATCACATGATCCATGGGACGCACTGGCTCGAACTTCAGCCAACCGACTTCACGGCAACAGGCCCTTGCCTGCTGGGCCCACCACAGGCGCACTTTCATTCGCACCAGAAGAGGTGCTCACAGTAGTTGTCGTGACGACAATGGTCGCAATTGCCGGGAAGAAGTGCAGTGTCCTTATAAAGCGTTAACAGCGTGATTTGAACACAAAAATTATTGACTGATATCATCATCTTGTCTTTGCAGTGCTACAGCGCCATTACCCAGTGCTATCATTCGACGTAATTAGTCTCGATATTTCATTAGAGTATATTTTTGGCAGTATGCTCTAAAAGTCAGACACTTCTTTTGAACTACTTCTGCGCATGCTCTCAAAATTTGAAGCTTCTGTCCTTGACGGTTCATGATATATGATCTCCTTTTCATGGTCGTGTCAAGGTTATCTAAATGACTTTAAGTGCACGGCAATGCTTCCGATATCTCGTACTAGGCCAGGAAGTCCCAAGTCAACCTAGAAACTTTGGTCTTTGTGACCAGAGATGGCAGCTTGAAGGTCATGCAATTCAACCTTAATGGCATGTATATTACGGGTTGAGAACTAATTCCTTGATATCTTCCTCCCTCTCGTGTGGCTTGTTTTATTTTTGATAAAGCCGGACTAGGCCAAAGCAACAGATGCCTCCACAACTTTGACGTGGCATGATCTATCACAGGCCACATGTGTCAATGTGTGCTTTTGAATACCTTAGAGTTTCCAAAATGCTATTCAACGCCGTCCTATGCATTATAGTGACATATTTGATTCTCACGTAACAGAGTGACTCTATACAATGCAAATTCGACTGCCTTAAGCTGATATGACCCATTCAAGGTCACATTTACCATTTGGCAGACGCGCTTATCTGAAGTAGTTTGACGAGAGCTTTCCAGTGACGTTTCCTACGTGTCTCTAGTTTTTTTTTTTAATTTTTGAACTTTGAATGGGACTCTGAAGCCGTCCCTGTGTTGGGCAAACGTGACGAAAATTTGCTTAGGGCAAGGGTTAATCTATACGAAACCTGACAAAACTACATTTCCTTCTGGGATTTTGAAAGGGATTGGGTGTTCTACTTGTTAGTTAATTGGTTTTCACATTCATTGGCAATATCGTTGGCAGCTAATCGACTTTTATAGCACGCTTTTATCTCTCATTCAAATTTTTGTTTTTAATTATGACTTGTGGTTTGGGTGACTTTATACCTTCACCCTGAAGCCGGGATTCCGCATCCTTACCCGTGCAATGCTCACTTTCATGGAGGTAACCCGGCTAAGAAATGGCATTGGGCATATTCATCAAATCGTTTTCCATGACTATGTTTGGTAGTTTGCATACCCGTGCAAATGGCATGATATCTAGACTAGCTACCGCTCCAGAGATCGCCCCTTGGCCGGTCCTGCTCAACTACGATAGACATCGGTGTCCGGCTCCAGCGACGTCACGTGTCGGTGCCCAGCTCCAGTGACGTCATGTGTTGGTACCCAGCTCCAGCGACGTCACGTGTCGGTGCCCGTCTCCAGTGACGTCACGTGTTGGTACCCAGCTCCAGTGACGTCACGTGTCGGTGCCCGGCTCCAGTGACGTCACGTGTCGGTGCCCGGCTCCAGTGACGTCACGCGTCGGTGCCCAGCTCCAGTGACATCACGCGGTATGTGGGCAGGCTCCAGTGACGTCGCGTAGCGTGTGGGCAGGCCTGTTGATCACCTTCCACTACACGGCCAACATGGTCTCGCACCTGACGGTGGTGCAGCCGGCGGCGCCTATCAGCAGTCTGGCGGAGTTCGCAACCAACAACGACTGGACGCTGGCCATGGAGGACGGTCTCGGCATCATCGGCTCCTGGGCGGTCAGTGCTGCCTGCACCGATGCTGGCCGACACTGACTTGGTATTGATACCCAGCCTAGGCGTTGCACGTGCCACCAGCCCACAACCGCACGGGCCGGCGAGCCAACGCTGGTTACAGAGCCGTCTTCCATAACGCACCGTGACTTGCCTGCCCCCGCCTCCCCCCCCCCCGTAACGGCGATCAGTGATGACCAAATACCAACACAAGTACTATCATGTTATTCGTTGCCTACGCGCACTCGTGGCCAAACTGTGACAGATGCAGTCCAATTCCCCGTGACTCTGGGGAGCTATAATTGACGTGAACTCTGCGCTCATCTGCCGCCGATCTTTGCTTCTCAAATCCTGCCGCTGTGTTCTGCCCTGTCTTAACCTCCTTGCTCATGTCTGTGGGAAGCTTTCATGGACATGGGCTTCGCATTTACCTGTCGCGGGGTTGTGCCTGTCCGGACCTACCGCTATGTGCTCTGACCTGACCTGCACACGCCCTGTGCACCATCCTGACCAGCAGAAGAGTCCCGTGCCGGCCGAGCGTCACCTGTATAAGCGAACGGCCTCTGGAGAGCGGTTCCTCCGGCTGAACGGCACGCCGGAGGCGTTCCTCGCCGCCGTCCAGCCGCGCACCCTGCTCTACCACGACCAGGACCTCGTCATCACGGCTATCGGCGAGGAGGCGTGTCATCTTCTACCGCTGGTCGAGCCCGATCCCAGAGGGAAACCGGAGGCTACTTATCTGGTGTTGAGGAAGGGCCTGAAGCCGCTCAGGAGCGTCATTAACAAAACGCAAGTGCTGGCAAGCTTTGGGGAGGCGCCGTCCGTCGGCACCGGCCTGGCGAAATAGCATGGCATTAAGTATTGTCTGGCTATGCACGCATGCATTTGTGCCACACAATGCATAACCTGTGGTTGCATTAGTTGAGCTGGACTCGGATGCATCTCTTCTGGCCTTAAACGAATAGTCCAGGGCCGTGATATCAGAGAAGTAAAAAGTGCGATGATCCTCTGGCTCTCCCCGTTATCCGAGACGTCCACACTTGCCCCGCACAAGGAAGCCAAGCGAACAATTTTGCATGCGAACTCTGAATCATTTTCAGCTTCCTGTGAGTTACATGTATGTGGGTCAAATGTGAGGGTCACATGTACGTGACAGCGCGATGTGGAGCGTGTTGGCCGTCAATGAAATGCGATCGCTAATGATCATTTGGTCATAATGCCGTCTTGGAATACAGCGAACTATTGCACTGCACGTTTACATTCTGTACTCACCTTTTCCAATGTTTAATTTTGCACCGCCACGGTTACAGCGCCAATGAGCTTTCCACGCATCTTGCATCGGAAATCGATGAATCATGTGGTGGATTTACAACTATATTTTATCGGTTCAACAGCAAAGCAAGCTTCGGTCGGGCGTTGACATGGGCTGGCAGACCTTTCATTTGTTGGCGCACCGCTCGCAACAAATGCTCATTGATTGGAGTGGGAGCTGGCTAAAGCAAACTACTGCTGTTGTTAAGATGGGGCACCAACCGCCAGCACGTGCCGCGGAGGCTGTCCCCAATCGAAGGTCGCCGATCTAGGAAAAATAAGTGAAGGGTGCCGTATGGATTATCGAATGTAGCTACAAAGGTGCGCATAAGGGTTATTTGTAACTATTTGCAAGGGTGTATGCTTTCCAAAAGCCCGCATTCCGAGAAGCAGATAATGCTGTTCAGAAGATGCACTTTCACTGTTAACACATGTTTCGACGTAAACTACAAAACCGAAACATTGTGAGCGGTATTATCCAAGTCCACGGTGATATGGGTTTGGCCAGATTCATGTGACCCGGTTGCCGTGCACACCCTTACTTCAAGCTTATCTGACCTGAATAGCCTGACCGTGAAACCCCACGTGGAAACCTTTGAATGTTTGGTCAGTTATGCTGCACGCCACTTGTAATGTGCATGACTTACATACGTATGCATCAGCAGATGTGCAGTTTTTGGCACAATTCACACGACAGCGACAAACATCATCTGCTGGAAACAGGTTAAGTGTAAGGAAATGTCCCACGTTTGCATGGGGTTTTGAACTAAGATGAGCATTTTTAAGATCATTTTCTGCAGGCATCATTCCGTCTGGGTTCTGAGTGAGGCGCTCGCAAATTTGTGAAGATCAGTTCGTGTCGCATATTTCAAAGCTATCCAGGTATTATGACGTCATAGAAACGTCACATGAATCTGCCCACCTCCATGGACAGACTGAATTCAGGGTCACTTGGATGAGCCACCGCATCGGCAGACAATACTGGGTAAAAAGACTTTCACATTTCTATCGGGCTTTGAACTGAAATACCAAGCATGAGAATCATTCGGCGCAATTCACAATCTGGCCGTTCTTAAGACCCAAAACCTTCTAGTTTCTAAGCTATAGGCCCGTGAAGATTGGGAGACTATTGTGGGAGAGTATTTCAAGGTCACTTTTCCTGCCGTCATGTCAACATCATTGAACAGTGGCGTATCGAGAAGCATGTGTATTAAACGGAGAAACTGCATCGTTTGGAAAAGTCTTTTTTCACCTCAGGGTGAACCACTACTAAGAAAGCAAGCTTTTCTATCATATCTGATTCTTGCCTCAAAATCTTCAAATTTCCAGCATTCCTTTAATAAGAGCGCCGTAACTGATAATGCGAATGGAAAAAACACATGGCATTGAAGAAAATACACGAAAACGCCACAAAAAAACGCGCCGCTGATAAGATAAATTCATATAAGCGTTATGTGGCTATTCTGCTCCGCACAGACACCAATGCTATCTTGCGGTGCTCGAAGTATCATGTAAGTCCACGTCCGCTAGTGGTAATTCTGGCACGGCCAATCTGGCAACGACTCTGATGCCTTTGCAAAACTCCATGAAGTAATCAAACGGTATAGTATTGGGGGGAAAATTCAATAAAATTTCATATTTTAGTGGTCTACTTAAAAGTGTACCATAAGTTATAATTGAGCTTATTCTATCTTGCCTGATACTTGTCTCGCCATCAAATGCGCAACACTCCCTTTAAAGTGCGTGATAAGGTATCATGCTCTGACTAAGTTAAAGGGCTACGATATAAGTATAAATAACGCGGAGTTGGGCACTGTTAGTTACGTTAGATTAGTTGTGAAATGAAGACACAGCAGTTTTGGACGCATCTGCCCTTGTGCGTTGTGCTAGCAACCTCCAAGGAGTAAAATGGGAAGCACAAGGTAGGGAAGAAGGCTACATAATGCGATCCCTGTATTCAGCGGGTGATGAAATGCAATGTGTTCCGTTTTGAATGATTCCCTTTCGACATCCACGGTCAGCATATTGGCCCCGCCGTCAGTGATATCTGTCTCCCCATGCCCAGGGTAAATTACAACGTCCAGCTTTAACCACGACGTCTACCGACCACAATTCACAGTGCGTATCTCATTCTCAGGAAGCTTGGGCGTTACTCAACCAACCACCTATTTAAAGCAAATGCAGCTCGCCCCTCCCCCCACTTCCCTTCTACTATTTCCGTCCGGTTTTACAGCACCGCCGTCCTCTATCCACGGCTAACACCACTTGCAGTTCGTCTGAGCGCCGTCCGGCGGCGCTGTCGGCAGGCTCCTGCGCCTGATGCAGACGGGCACACTGTCCCGGCTGAAGCGACGCTGGCTTCGCGGCAGCCGGCAGCTCTGCCCAGACCAGCGGCTAGCCGTCCGGCCCCTGACGCTGGCCGACATGCTGGCCGTGATCGTCATTGTGCCGCTGGCAGCGATCGGCGCTGGTCTGGTGTTGGCCGGGGAGCTGCTGGCCAGCCGCCTGAGATGGCGAGCCCGACGAAATTACCTGTTACCGCTGGTCGATGATGATGGACTGCTAAGCAGCTCAAAAGAACTGAAAATGTAAAGTGGAGTAATGCTCGGTGCTGTAGTGTGCAACTCGAGGTCGCTCAGACTACCCGTTTGAAGGTTTCAGACGCATGGGCGGGGTGAGATGCCGCCTGAACGGTACCTCGGCCGTGCGGCACGCGCGGTGGCACCGCCTTTTTTCCTCGGCGCACCTCCACACCGAGGGCCTAGGACTGCCGTGATAATAAATGCAAATCAGATACCCTCAACTGGCCTTTCAACCCACACCTACGGCTCCGATTCTCCGCTACGACAGCGCGTGGTGTTCACCATTTAGCACACCCGTCTCTGATTTGTACTTGTACGCCAGAGACGGGTGTGCAGTCATACGCCAGAGAAGAGTGCGCTGAACGCATAATTGTGTCCATAATTCGCACATAACAGTGTCCATAATTCGGACATGACTGTGTCCATAATTCTCACCCATATATGAGACATCGTAGTCATCATGATGATGTGGGCTTCAAGATTCGAAGACCCGCTATTTCACGTTAGATGCTTAAACATGTCACATCTAACTGTCATATATAAGGCACGAACCGGCTGTGATTTGTAGGTGGAAAGTTATTTTCATCACTCCTAATCGTTTCAGCGGTCACTTCGCAACGGAAGGTCTAATCACAAACTTTCACACTTTTGTTTTCTCCCATTTTTTTCTGAAAGTCCCGTTCTTCTGTCCAGGAAGGCGCCTGTAAGGCCAGCTGAGCCGGATGTAAAAATCCATCAACTGCCACTGTTCACGTCATCGCTGGAGACCGCCGATAAGGGCAAAGGACGTCATAGCCACACCGCCGGGACGTGGTCCAGGATGGCATCTCTGGTTCCCGAGGGTGGCCGTCTCCAGTTCTGCATGACCGGACGTCTCCTCTGGCGACGTCCGAGTGTCCGCCAGCCTCTGAAACATCTTCAAGGTCGTGGTGATGTCGCAGCGCCATGTACCCGGCTGGCTGAGTCGGAGCCGCCTGCCCTCCCACGCGGCGAATAATGCTCTCGTATTTCCAAAAAGTGCCTTTTACGCGAATAGGAAGTGTCCAAAATAAATTTGGTAGGCTTCTGGGCGATGAGAGCATGCTGGATGATAAACATATAGAGCTCAAACAATCGCGTAAGCCAATCGGAGCAACGACCAGAACCGGTGGAGTCCATGGGCGATAGAATGGTCCGCACAATCATTCATAGGCCTCGACGACAATGTAGAGCCATCCGAGGTATTTGCGAGGTGGGGCAAAGTTATATCGTTGCCAGCATGTTAAGCGTGACAAACATAGGTGGAATCATGCAAAATTTGAGTGCTTTATTGTTGCCTTCTATTCTTTCTTACTTTGTAGGCCCCAATCACCTATCGTCTATCTATCCATCTATCACCTATCTAAATCGTCCCAATGGTCTCGTATCCTGCACAAGTACAAGCATTTTTGAATTTCAGACTTCCCCATCATCCACTGTCTACTGAAAAGCATAGGTTCACAGTGTGATAGCTACCGTGATCGTTAACACGGCTATTTTTATTTCCATTGGTAGAAGAGAATATATTTCAGGTGCCGAGCCGCCCTTGGGAACTTCTCTCAGCCTAGTTGTAAAGAGCACACCATACACCGACGAAACCACGTTGCCACGATCTCAACTCGGCAGACGTTGAAGGTGCCAATTTTCACAGCGTGGTATGGAATTCAAGGTGGAACTGGGCCTTCCAAGAAGTGTTTTGTGCAGGATGCGTGGAACGAGCAAGATGCACCCAATGGCCGTTTCTCAACCCGCCAACAAATTCTGAACTCGTGACATGTGTCGAATTTTACGCATCATCTTTGCCAAAACGCTTCCACACCAGATGTACTGCAGTGCGGCACTCATCCCTCATTAGGCCCGTGTTGGGACCAAAGCTGTCGGATCGCCGTTTCTCAGCAAACTCAGGAAAACAGGGGAATGCCAAATGAATCGGAAATTTGTTACAGCCTGCCATGCAGTTGTACTTTTAATTATTTTTGGGAATCCCATCCCCATCAACGATAAGCAGTAACGCAGAAGCACTGCGTGAGCCATCAGTGCCAGCAGGTCTGCCGGATGCCAGCGGTCTATCTCATTACCTGATCTGGTACAGCCCCACTGTCTTCGGGTACCTTCATCATTACTTGGCCGACGGCGACACACCTTAGGTGAAACCTAACACCTGGCGAAACTCTCGCGCTGATTAGCCGTTTTTTGATAACACAAACACTAAATCCAAAGAAGGCATCGGCATCAGTTGGGGAAGGCGTGTTTACTTTTTGGGTGCTCTTGCAAAATATGGCTGAAAAGGAAAAGGACGTGGCCATAAATCGTCACTCTTAGTTTTAGGTCCCAAAATTATTCCTTTTCGTTTTTTGTAGGCCCGGCAGGGCGGAATCACGCCAAAGAAGTAACTGAGATAAATTGCTTATTTAAAACAGTTCTCATGAAAAAGATAGTGTCTGCAATATGAGGACAAAACACTCAACTTTCCGAAGGCAGTGATGCAGAGTTCAAGTGTACAGTTCTTGGTAAGCAGAAATATTGTATTTACGCAACGGCAACGCAGAAACGGCGCTAGGGAGTCCAGGCGGTGCGGTGCGCGCGGCGCTGGGGGGCCCGCCATCGAAGTTATTGAAGTTCGAAGGTAGGAGCATGATTCTACCTGTTTTGAGATTATTTACGATATGTCCTGCCCTAAACACGACGAATGGTGTACAATGATTTTTTCTAACGTTAGGTAGGAAAGTACACCCTGACCCAAATATGACACATATAAGGGAGGTCAATGTTTTACCACATCAGGCATAGGCAAGACAAGTACAGTTATATGAATCTTGCTGACTGTCTTATCTTGTGATGGCAAAAAAGCAGGTTATATTGTTTTCTTTGCATTTAATTTACCATGCTGCTAAGCATTCTTAATCATGTATTTTCCATCAACATCTGAAATTGGACAGCAACTGAAAACTGCTGTAACCATGATCTGGGAATCTCCCACATGACTGCACAGCTCTTGGCTCAATTACTGCCCGATATTCTAAGTTATTTTCTAAGCCTTGACACATCCATGTATTGTATTGAAATGGAAACATACAAATGATTCACCAATCAAAAATCCTTCTGCCTGCAATAGCATTTAAAGGCAGCTATTTATATGGAATGCCACAGACAAGGCATGGTTAAGTCATTGCCTTAATTATTTTTTTCCTGTTTGGATGTATGGACCAGACTATGCATCACACAGTTGAACAGGCAGTTGTATGCATGAACCAGACAATGCATCAGGCATAAATGCACCATGTAAAAGGTTTGTGGGCATTCCTTTTTGTTAAGATCTGTTTTGTGATGTTGATCAGTATGCCCAATATGAAGTAACAGATGTCAGACATAGTTCACTGTTTGTATTTTGAGCCCAGGTGTTTTTCTTTTCTTTTCATTGACTCATTTTTTATTTCATTGACACATTTTTCTTTCATTACCATGTTTATCAGCTGACAATCAACACATGTAGACAGATTGGTGCTCCAGAGGTATAGGCATGCCACTTCAGAGAGACGACCACCCCTAGTCAGCATGATGCTTCGGAGAAAGGACCACCCCTAGTCAGCATGATAATGCTATTATTGCTAATAATGTTTCTGCTTTCTGCTCTCTGCCAGGCAATGTGGCAGCTGTGCTCACAGTATGAGAAGGATAATTTTTCTGTGTAACTCTCATTGGCATCTGCAGATGCTCCCCGCTAGGCTCGCTGACAGCATGCTCCTTTGACCCACAAATGTGCTGCCCTTCAGTCTGATACACACCAAGTCAAATTTCTGACCACCCTCACAAATGCACAATCAGACTGCTGACTGGTTGCCCACCACACCATTCTGGTCAGGCTCCACCTGTTTTGGGCTTACATAGGTACCCCTCAACCAGTTCCCATGGGTCATGAATGGGGATGAGGTGACCAATGTGCTCTGCTGGGGGCCATTTGCAGCATTGTCACAGCTGTCTTCATTTTCAGACAGAAGAATGTCTTCATCACACCAGTCAAGTGCTGAGGAGGATGATGTGTACATTGCTGGTTTGGACTGTGAAGATGATCCACTGTATATTGGAGAACCACTGGCAGTTGGACAAGGTATGGATCTTTCATTGTCATTTGGATTTTACAATGCACTCAACTATGGAGGCCATATGTCATTGCCTGCTATGGACTGCCTGCATGCCTATGCCTATGGGAGATATGGGTCTTTAGGGTATTGTATGTTGTGAGACAGGACCTTTTTTGTGCCTCAGCAGTGAGTAAGGATGTGAGGTCTTCTTCCTACCATGTGATCATGCACATTCCTTAGTGGTGCCTATCTTGACACATTTGACACCCCATATGTGATTTGTGGTGTCAAAATGGACCTGAAATATTTGTGATCTGGTGCTCAAAAGGGTCCAAACATCTTTTTCTTGATTCCTCATAAACTTTCAACTTCTTAACTGTTACTCTGTTTATACATTGGTGTGATTTGTTCCACCAGATGTTTCATGTCTCCCCAGCAGCAAAGTCTAAGTAGACTGGAAGTTCTTGAGACTAGCTCACTCCTATACTTTACAGAAGCGGTGTACTCTCTCCGCTGTGGTGGGAATGACAGTGGGGTATTTGCGAACACCTACGACAGCGATTGTTCGAGTCCTACTGCGTTCATACTGCCAGGTGAGGCTTCCAGAAAAAACTTTGATATTTTGGCTTGTTATATCTTTTCAGACCAAGAAATTATTACCAATTCAAAGTTGTCCCGACATTGACTGACTGATGTGCATTTTTCACGTTCTCACTGCGAAGTTTCTTGGATCCCCAAATTTATCGTCTTGTATGGTGTTTAACTTGATTTATTTAACTTGGAAGCTTTCTCGTGCAGATCGCAGATTTGCACGAACGTTATCCCGCTTACGTCAAGTAATACATATATTTTGATGAATTGGGCATCGCATTCTGTATCCACGCATTGAATGGTACCATGGCCTTTCAACTCATCAGTTTAAGTATGGGTCGTTTATGCTGTATGGGCTGTTGAATATGCTGTCAGCTCATTGTTGCTTGCGGTAATGCCGCGGCATTCGTGCTGACTGACTTCTTTCTTTGCAGACGATCCCCCGGATGTTAAACCCGACCTGATAACACTCACAGATGAGGAGGAACCAACGGAAGGGACGATGACTTCAGCTCGTTTGCTCGGTAGGTTACCAGCTGCCGTTTTTAGTACTAATCAGTTTACTTACAATGACAGCAAACGATAGGGGTACTGGTAGTAAAGTAGTTGATGCGTCTGAGGTAACCAGCACTGTGCGTCTGGTAAACCAGAGGTCAGGGGCTCGATTCCCCGCTGTGCCCGTCCTTCCCGCCAGAGTGAGAGGCAGGCGACGTCATATAGCCTCAGCAGCTGAGTGCGTTGTAAAGCCGCAATGACAGCAACAACAATGACAGTAAGCGATCCCCAAAGTACCGAAATATATAGAATATACGCCATAGCATTCTCCGTGCTCAGGGTGACCGGTGTGTCTCCAAGCAGAGCAGGGGTGCGAAAAATGTACAAAAATAAGGAGGGGGCCGTCCATAAATTGCGCACGGAGGGGAGAGGGGCTCATGGGGTGCAACCGAGGTGCAGCAAAGGGCAGGGGTTTTAGACGGCGTAACCTTAGAGGAGCGTATGGTCGGTTGTCGTAAATCTGAGAAGTATCAGGGCGATTTACGACAACGCCCTGTATCTAGCGGTACACCTGCGGCGCATGCGCAGTTGCGTCCTGGGGTGAGCGCGACACAAAGGTCTGTAGGTATCTATGTTAACAACAGTCCTTTCCCACTCAGGGCCACATAGGTTTTGTGGGACACTGTATTTGCACAGTGGGTCCAGCCCAGCTACTAACTTTGAGTCAAGATAATCCGGAATTACGTTTCGGCAACTTCCACATCGATTCCGGCAGTCCGTTATAAACACATTTTAGCATAATTCATGTAGGCCGGCTCATGACGACAAGGCCTTGTTCGCTTGCAGTGTCGAGTATAGTGCGTGAGGATACACTTACAGATCCTTAGTTTAACTGGATTCAGCAGTCCCATCGAATTTAGTTGAGTTGGCCAGTGTGTCGGGCCATACCAACCTAGGCCGCGTTTCATTTCACCTACTATGTTTTTGGTAGACAAACACATGCCCCGCCCACTCGAATGCTGGACTGTTTCATACCAGCTACTGACTACTGCAAAGCTTTACATTACCCGCGCATCTGTGCCATTATTAGCGTCATTAGCAGTCACCTATCATCAAGTTGCAGCTTTTAAAAAAAAAATTATGTCCCACTTAATCCCTAGCAGCCTGCATATTAACTAAAACAGCCAAAGCACTAACATGATGTTGCCTGCGCTGTAAGCCGCCGTGTCATGGACGCCCCACAGACCACCGAGATGTTAAAACGTTTTGCGAGCCCAGTAGTCGACAAGTATGATGCCACACCCCCCGCGTCACGAATCCATCATGGCCGCCCGACCAATCATAGAACAGGATTTCGACTATTGGTAGCACGATAGTTACGATGAAACGCGGCCCTACATTGCATGCTTTGGGGAGCTATCGTCCGATCCAGCGCAGCCCACTCAGGACCACGATTCCGTGCGTTTATGCAATCCCTGATGAACTCGAATGGCTGTGTTTCTAATTTACGCGCCGTGTTTTCAGGTGCTGCATGCCATCCTGGCAGCGGGAAAGGTCAGTGTTTAGAAGAAGACCCACTGGCGCAAAACGCGGAAGCTCACCGCCAACAACCTGCCGTGAATGTCCGCCCTTTTCTGCAGCCGCGCCTTGGACGGGCAGAAAGGCGGCGAACCGCGCGGACAGCTGAATGCTCGTCCCATTCAGATACGGACAAAGATACTGCTGGCTCTGGTGTTAGCAGCGCGCCGTCCGACGAAGAAATGGCAATGTCCATGCATGCTTTTCACTTGATCACAAAGATGTTCATCTGCGGGTTTTGTGGCCAATCTTTCCGGGAAAGGGAGACGCTGATCAAGCACGCCGCGCGCCACGGTAGTGAGAAATCCTTGTGCAGCGTGTGCGGGGAGACGTCAAATGAAAGGCATACCAGAAGCACTGATGGCTATGATCGCAATGATGGAGAACCGTTTATTTGCGAAGCGTGTGAAAAGCCTTCCAGCGGAGCTGGTTCATTGGTAAGGGACTCTTTAGTCACAACCGGCGTAGGAATGTTCCAATGCGGTTCTTGTGGAAAATCTTTTTCGCAAAAAGGGAATCTGGATGTTCATGCACGCACTCACACTGAAAATAGGCGGTTTAGTTGCGGAGTTTGTGGAAAGTCGTTTTCTCGAAAGTCGGCGGTGAAGGCGCATACGCTTTGTCACGCTGCTGAGAAGCCGTTCAAGTGCAGTATGTGCGGCAGGACGTTTAGTGAAAAGAAGAATTTGGCGTGTCACGCGCTGACCCACAAAGCTGACCAACCAGCCGCTTGTGATGTATGTGGCAAGTCCTTTTATCGAAGGAGTCTTCTGAAATCGCACGTCATCGTCCATTCCGGGGAGAAGCCGTTCAGCTGCGACGTGTGCGGCAAGTCGTTTTCTCGCAAGCCGCACCTGCGTGTTCACGCGCGCACCCACACCGAGGAGAGACCGTTCCGCTGCGTAGAGTGCGGCAAGGCGTTCCGGCGAAAGGATCATCTCACGGATCACGCCGTGATTCACACTGGCGTGAGACCGTTCAGCTGCGGCGTGTGTGGAAAGTCGTTTTGTCGGAAAGGTGACGTGCGTGCCCACGCGTTTACTCACCTCGGAGACAAGAATAGATCAGTCGTGGAATATGCGGCAAACTTTGCCACGGGAAAGGCATGAAAGGAAGTGGAATCTACGAGAGCGAATTACGTAAAAGCTGTTTCGTGTTGTAAGAACGGTAGTGTAGCGAAGCATGTTCCGTTGATCCGTGTGGGATATTGTCCAAATGCCTGTAGCGGCCCGCAGAGTCGGGGTCACCTTGAGGCTTATATACTCCGCGCAGCGTTGATGTACAGATACAAAGCACTTGCGATAGGAACGTATCATTATCAAATCTCCCCAGGTGTGTCCTTACTCATAGTGAATACTCCGTCGGTTGGCGATGTGAGTCGGAAGTCCAAAGATTCTGCTCGGTCGTGAAGTGTAGGAAACCGTTCAGTTGTGAAGTGCGAGATGCCGTTCAGTTATGAACTGTGATAAACCGTTCAGTTATGAAGTGCGAGATACCGTTCAGTTGTGAAGTGTGGGATACCGTTTAGTTGTGAACTGTGAGAAACCGTTCAGTGAGCCGTGTCATTTGCGCATGTTCAGGCCAGCGGAAGGCTGTCGATCTCTAATGTTAGTGAGAATGACACAAGAACACGACGAGAATGACGCGACCGTCGACGTGAGGACCTAGCTGTGCGATGCAGCTTTGTAACCGCAGCATGGTTGTTCGACTCGGTGCACACCTGTGGTATTTCTTCTTGTATTGCATTGTTCTTGCTCAAATGCTGCGCTGCCGTAGTCCTTGCAGTGCGGCAGACTAGTCTAAACGGCATTGTTGTCCTGAACTCTATGTATTGGACCTGCTCGCGGATGTTCTCAAAAGATCGTTTAACACGCGCCCGGGTGGCCGGCTGGATACGCCTCGCTCGGGTGGGGGTCAATTTGACCGCCCTGAGATCTCGGAACTAAGAGAGCTAGAGACACCAAATTTTGCAGGGTGTGTTGACCTGGACGTGAACCCACTTAGATCAAGTTTTAAAGTTCTTAGGTCATGACCTCCGGGTCAAATAAAGTCAAACAAGGTAAAGTTCCAGGTTGGTCTCTTTAGTGCCCTAGAACCCAGACAACTGTTTCTAAGCATAAGTTCAGTTGCTCTTTTAAGGTCAGTGACCTTGTCTGACCTTTTGAAGGTCATGGTGGCCAAAATCATACAAGATTGCTCTGAGTTTTTCATTTGAATAAGCGGCAAAAATTGTTCTAGGCAGTATGTCCCTAGAAAGAAAATGCTGACCAGGGCTTTTTAGGTCAATGACCTATAATGACCTGTAAGGATTCCATGAAAGTTGTATATTGCGGTTCTTGCTATCAATAGATTCGGAATCAGCACCAGAAACTATTACATATAGCAAGCCTTAGAGTAACAAAGGCTGGTTTTGACCTTGATTTGACCTCATGCCTGACCTTAGGTCAACGTAGTTTGCTCATCCGATATTTGTGTTGCCTAAGAGTGCATCTCAGAGATGTACGGCTTTGCCTAACACTCCGCTGTTGCATCAGATGAGCGATTCCCTAGAAATTGACTTCGCTGAAACCATGATCTGACTGACCCGTCAAAGGTCAGTGACCTTCGAGGTACATCTAAATTTTTTGTATCAAGCGACTCCCCATTCAATTGTCTACAGACATGCAAAATTTAGCACGGCTACGCCGCGCCGTTCGCAAACCACTCTCGAAAAACCTTTTAGGAGGGAGGCGGGGGTCAATTTGACCCTATCCGAGCGCGTTTTAATAATTATTTCATTTTAAGGGCGCGTCTACTGCAATGGGGGTTCGTGCTAACTTTCGGAAGATCAGGGCATTGACAATACATGCCAGCGGGCAGCGCATATTAGTGTCTGGACAGAAACCAAGACAAAATAGGTGGCACCGCCGCGCTTAACCACACCTGACTTGTCGCCCATTGAGCACGGGTCGGGAGGAGACCGTCTTGGAGGCCAAAGCGGCGTGGTTCGGTGGCTCGGAATGGCCGCGTCAAAAAAAGACAACAGTCACTTATCCGCCCGCGGGCCAAATGCACTCGTCTGCCCCAATCCTGACGTTGGAACTAAACAGCGGATCCGGTAAAGTTCGCGGAAGCTGGCCCTGGCGGGAGGCAAGCAGGGTCAGAGTCTCCGAATGACTTGGTGCGATTAGTGTGAAAAGCGAAGCAGGCTGCCGAACCTCCTGGGCGCGGCCGACAGAGGCTCACCATGTATTCATGGGGCGCGCGGAGGCCTGAGCAGGGCTGCGTGGCGCGCTTGCGGTGCCGGTGCGACCGCTGCGTTTAAGGCGAACACCCGCCAACATTGGATGTACGGAAAACTCCACACGTCCAATGGGTGTACGGAGACCTTCACACCTCCAATGGATGTACGGAGACCTCACACCTCCAATGGATGTACGGGGACCACACCTCCAATGGATGTCCGGGACCTCCACGCGTCCAATGGATGTACGGAGACCTCCACACCTCCAATGGATGTACGGAAAACACAACACCTCCAGTGGATGTACGGAGACCACCACACCTCCACTGGATGTACGGAAAACTTCACACCATTACGGAGACATCCACACCTCTAAAATGCATATACGGATACTTTCACACCTCCAATTGATGTACGGAGACTTTCACACCTCCAACTGATGTACGGAGACCCCACACCTCCAATGGATGTACGGAGACTTCCACACCTCCAATGGATATACGGAGAACTCCACACCTCCGATGGATGTACGGAGACTTCCACACCTTAAATGGATGTACGGTTAACTCCACACCTCCAATGGATGTATGGAGACCACACCTCCAATGGATGTACGGAGACCTCACACCTCCAATGGATGTACGGGGACCTCCACACCTCCAACGGATGTACGGAGACCTCCGCACCTCCAATGGATGTATGGGAAACTCTACACGCCCGATGAATGTACGGAGACCTCCACACGTTTAATGGACGTGCGGATAACTCCGCATGTGCAATGGATGTACGGAGATCTCCATGCGTCCAATGCTTGCTGCGGCTAGAGCGACTAATGCGCCGCTTCAAAGATAAGTTGGGGCCATTGCGGTGCACGACAGGAAAGCTTTCGCTTTCGTCTTAAGGCGGAGACCCAATATACGCCTGGGTGACAGCTCACAAGGAGATGCGCACGCCGCGTATCTCGCACATGTGGGTCCACGTGGGGCTCACCACGCAGTCTCGAGTCGAGCAGGCCACACAGGTGCTCGCTATGCCGCACAGGTGCTCGGTATGCCACACAGGTGCTCGGTATGCCACACAGGTGCTCGGTATGCCACACAGGTGCTCGGTGTGCCACACAGGTGCTCGCTATGCCACACAGGTGCTCGCTATGCCACACAGGTGCTCCGTATGGGCACGTAAGACTGATTGGTGCCCGCTCAGCCGCCATTTCGGCGCCTCTTGCAGCAGTCCGCCTCCGAAAACAAAGCGCGGCCTTCTGGTGGGCGCCGGATATGGCGTCTCCGCCACCGAGACCAGCGAGGTGGGCCGATGATGTCGTCCGAGTTAGGGAATCGCATCGTTATGTGAAGTAAACTGCGCACGCGTAATTTCAGCATTTATTATGATCACCTGTAACGTATAGCGTCTCTCACCAATAACCACGTTATCACGTGTAAAATGTAACAAAACGAGTCACGAGAGCGTACATTTAGCATTCACGAACGCTCGCGTGCACCGCGTGGGCTACTCGTAACGTGCGCCGGGCCTTTCCAACGTCGGACTGGGGCTGCCTCGGGGGGCGTCGGCCTGCTGCCTCTGCCGCGCGTCCGACTGACCGCCTTCCAGCGGCAGCTGTCACAGCGGGGAGCCGGCTGCTGGTGGTGGTCGTCCGCGCCCCCTCACGCCGGCTGTTGTGACTGTTCGAAACTGGCGACTCGTTGATTGAAATTGCTTTTACCTGTGCGTATATGTGCATATGTGTATGCTCTCTCCTAGAGCTGTGCGTTTCACTTGTACAACTGAGGCTGGACGGCCACCACGTGAAGGCGCATGCAACAAAAACATGAAATGGAGTGAAAGTATAAAAATTCTGCCTGGTGTGATCCCTCAGCCTAGAGCAGTACACACATGAACACACACCTCCGACAGCTTCCGGTCGGTCCTGTCCCGCCCGATGTTTCACCCGTAAATCTGCGCAAGTTTGGCCTGCTGCGGTGAAGGGTTGAGGGCTACCGCTGTGTACTACCTGACCGGTGTGTATCACGTATCGCCGCCGCCGCAGGAAATCCGTCTTCTTCGATGATTACATGACTGTCGACCCGAATCGGAGCCCCATAGGTTTCTGCAAGCTTTTTGGTGACGTTGTTTGTGAACGATATCCGTCCTTTGCCGCGACATGTAAAAAGGCATGTGCATTACCACGTAATTTAAGACATAAAAATCGCGTATCGACGCGCTCTAAAACTTAACTACTTAAACTAGAAAGCTAGATTAAAACTACCTGAGCTAAAAACTAAACTGAAAAGTAAACTAAAAGTCAGCATGACGACTACGCCAGCTTGTACGGGGCGCTCGAAGTGCGACGGGAAAGCTGCACGCCTGAGGAACACGCAGTTCGATTTCCTGCGGTGCCCGCCCTCCCTGCCAGGGTGAGAAGCCGGTGGTGCCATATAGCCTCAGCAGTTCAGTGTTTCGTAGAACCCTGTTGACAAAAACAACGCCATCTAGCGGTTAATTCTAAAATTCGCGCAAAGAAAGTGTCATGAATGGTAAAGACGATACGCCGAACCGAACGTTCATGCATCGGATCTATTGAGTCGTCTCATAGTCAGTGTGTGAATGTCGTCCTATCGTGGCTTCTGCGTCGCCGATCATTACTTCGAGGTGGTGCGACGCCGCACCGCTGCCGACGGTGGACCCGGACGTTGACCCAGCCGATGACCCCGCCACGGCCGGCGACTCAGGCGGCTGGTCAGCAGCTCCCCGGCCAGCACGAGACCAGCTCCGATCGCGGCCAGCGGCACAATGATGACCACGACCAGCATGTCGGCCAGCGTCAGAGACCGGACGGCTGGCTGCTGGTCCGGGCAGAGCTGCCGGCTACCGCGGAGCCAGCGTCGCTTCAGCTGCGACAGGACGCCCGTCTGCATCAGGCGCAGGAGCCTGCCAACAGCGCCGTCGGACGGCGGTCATATGAACTGCAAGTGGTATTGGCCGTAGATAGAAGACAGTGGTGCGGTACCGCTTGATTGGGGAGAGGGTCGTTGAATATTGTTTTGATGGGCGATTGAATAAAATAGCAGCTTCCTCAGAACGTAATGTGCGGTGAGGACCACGGTGGGCTAACTTCATAGCTCAAGCTATAGGTTGGGCTTCAAGGGGTAGATGACTCTGCTTTCAAAATGTCGCCCTGTTGGCCCACAAATAACAGGGAGCACTCATTCGAAACGGAAGGAACTGACTCTCTAGACAGGAACTGGAACGAAACATATGTTCGCCGACACACTGATCAAAGCAACGCAGACAAGCAATACGCTTAGCAGTTCAACTGTACCATGCGTTGATTTGTGCAGGCACGATATCACCACTGCCGAACGATAACTAAGGACGGCGGCGGAAACAGCTCGCGAATTTCATGAGCCGACAATACAGATATATTTTTTAGGTGCTCCCATTTATTGGCTTCGCAGATACCAGCCAGCAAGGCACAGTGAAAATCAGTCTGAGAGTGGATAATGTGGGACACAACAATTTTTTAGAGACGGTTTATTAACGTGTTGCAATAGTAACGAGTGATTTCCGAAAGCGGAAGATATGTTCCTGAGCCCAACAATCCAAGCCAAACCAAGCGTCAGCATCCCATTAAGTAGCGTCTGTAGGGAACTAAACTTTGCCGTCGACATAAGAGTGACGGGATACAGTTGTGCTGAATCGATTTCTTGTAAATGGAGGCGACGAAGCTCTTTTGAAGCAAACTGTGGCGGTGCACAACAAAATGCAACAAAAGCTACAACCATTAATGAACGTGGCACTACTATAGAAGCACTATTGATTAACTTGGACCCACTGGGCATAAGTTATCAGAGCCGCTGGTCAGTAGAGTGTGCACCGCGGTGATGCCCAACAAGGTCTCCAGTCCTTCGGTCACATGCATTTGATCTAACAGCGAAACCCCTAACACAATGCTTGGAGGAGATGGCATATTGTTTCATGCTTACTGCCCGGAAGTCACGGGTTGGCTAATACGTGCTCGGTCGGGGGTCAATTTGGGCGCCGGGAAGGTTTTTTTCTCGCGAATGTGCTCCGAATGGCGCGACACAGCCGCGCCAAATTTTGCATAGCTCTAGACAGTCGATTGGCGGATCGTTTGGTTTAGCAAAGTTGGATGTACCTGGGAAGGTCGCTGACCTACGGCAGGTCAAAGTCAGGTCATGGATTCAGCGAAGTCAGCTTCTAGGAAATCTTTCAATCTGATGCGATAACGGAGTGTTAGACAAGGCCATACATCCCTGAGATACTTTCTCAGGCAACATAAAAGCTGAGTGAACGAATTCCATTGAGACGTTGTCGGAGGTTATTGAGGTCAGATGTGAAGGTCTAATCAAGGTTAAAACCAACATGTTACATTACTCTGGGGCTTACTGTATGGGGTAGTTCCTGATGCTGATTTCGAACTTATTGATAAGAGGGACCGCATAACACATCTTCCATGGACTTCTGAAATGTCGGAATAGGTCACTGGCCTAAAATGACACAGGTCAGCATTTTGTTTTCGGGAACATACCACCTAGCCAGTCTTTGTCGCTTATTCAAATGCAAAGCTCAGGGCGGTCTTGGATGATTTTAGTTGCCATGACCTTCAAAAGGCCAAACAAGGTCACTAACTTTAACGGAGTATGCGATCTTTTGCCATGAAGAGGCATCAGGTTCTGTGGGCACTTAGGAAATCAACCTAGAAGTTGACATTGCTTGACTGGATTAGACCTTAAAGCCATGACTTGGGATTCTCAAGTTTTGACACGAGTGGGTTCACGAATAGATTAACACACCCTGTGAATTTGGTGCTTCTAGCCCTCTTAGCTCCTGAGATCTGAAGAGGGTCAAATTGTCTCCCATCCGAGCGAAGAGGATCCAACCGGCCACCCGAGCGCGTGCTAAGTCCGTGGTTGCACTCTTGTGATGGATAAGGGGATGGGTTAAATTCAAATTTTGGAGACTAATGGGCATTGATCAGGGTATGAATAACGTGTTTGTGATATGGGATATGCGAAAACGGAGTCTTAGACGAAACCATGTATCTTTGAGATAGTTTCTCATATCATCATACAGCTAGTAGGACTACGATCAACCCCTTTAACCTCGGTTCAGGTTTGCAGGTCAGGCCGAGGTAGAAACAAACTGCTTGTTTGGTAAATAACTTGTTTTGTGAGGTAGTTTTGATGCCAAGTGCGAGTTTCTAAATCACAGGGATATCAAAATGCATCTTACTTGACGTTCGTCAAAGTCAGAGGTCGCTGACCTAAAGTGACGGAGGTGTGTACCGATAGGGATGAAGGAGTATAGCGCAGTGCTTGACGCTTATGTACCTTCAAAAATAAAAACACAGGCCGTAGATAAGTCTGGCGATCGCAGCACTGCACAAATACTTGTGTGTGTGTGTGTGTGTGTGTGTGTGTGTGTGTGTGTGTGTGTGTGTGTGTGTGTGTGTGTGTGTGTGTGTGTGTGTGTGTGTGTGTGTGTGTGTGTGTGTGTGTGTGTGTATGTGTGTGTGGGGGGAGGATCCGTATCATATTGTCCAAGGCACAGAATGTCCAAAGGTACAGAATGTCCAAAGCACAGAATGTCCAAGGTACAGAATGTTCAAAGTTCATAATGTTCAAGGTACATAATGTCCAAGATGAGAAATAACTTCCAAAATGGCGCAGAGTGGAAGGGGCCCGTTTCACAATGCCCAATGTATAGAATGTCCAAGGTACAGAATGTCCAAATTACTAAATGTCCAATGTACATATTGCCCAAGGTACAGAATGTACAAAGACCAAAGCTTCCAAACTAGTTCCTGCAGCGGCCGTCAGGGTATGAATAATCGCCCTTCTTGGCAGGCAGCGTGGCACCACCCAACGCCGGCCGCGCGCATGCAGTCGACACCATTACGAAGACCACGAGCGTGAGGCTGGCCGGCCAGATTACTAGCTTAGTAAAAGATCATGTCCGCTCCACGACGCAATGGAGCCGGCTGGAGGCGCCGCGCCAAGCATTAGTCGCTGATTGTCAAAGTTGAGCCCGGTATGGTTTGCCTGCATTTTGCTCTGCTAAAAAGCATTGAAAGCAGACGGAATATGAAATGGAGTTTAGCCGCGCTGTGCCCGAAAATATAATTGTTGAGATGGACACCAGCAGTGGGCACTTCTGGATGCCGATCTTGACTGCTCGATCGTCAGCCTAGCGCAGACATCGTCAGCTCGGGTTAGTAAGTTCAAACAAGTTCAAATAACAAAGAAGTTCCAGTTAATAATCGCTCCCGGCATCATACACCAGCATTGTGGTTACTATGGGATGGATTTTCAGCAAAAGCGAGCTAACATCAAAAATGGCTCGTGGCCAGTAGTGAATATCGTTGAATGAGGGTGAATATTCTTCAATATGGTATTATAGAAACACCCTACATCCAGCACGTGAGGAAAGCTGATCGAAACACAGACGGTTAAATTTGAAGTAATAGATGACCATTACCAAGAATTAGGTCAAGGTGTTCAAGACAATGACTAAAGCGCCATTTCTAGATGGACTTCACGTGAAAAACGCTGCTCATGTGACGTCCCAAGATAATGCATGCTTACTTGCCTCGAAGAAAGTTGACGATTGTGCGCAACAATTTAAATATATGAATACTTGCCACCTGGCATTAAAATCTCTTCTTTACAGCTCCTGTTTCTCGTGCAATGCTGCATCTATCAAACTACGCACGCGATGCGATTACTTAATTCGGCATTAGGTATACTCAACGTGTTTACCTGTCATGTTTTCCTCGCAACGATGTGCGCACCTTCTGTATACGTGCGCCGCTGAGGTGTCCAATGAACCGGTCTGAAATCTTACGCTTTGTTTATCCCACCTGAACTGTCCCTGTACTTGAGTTCCTGGATATTCTATGTCTCACCCCATTTTTTTCATTTCATTTCAATCCGTTGGCGCATACATGAGGAGGTTTTACCGCCAACGGAACACTGGGGTTTCCTCCTGGAGCGGTCAACTAGAATGAAATTAGGATGAAGACTGCTAGTCATGCTAACCTAAGGTCATGTATATTGTTTGCGTGGGAACCCGTATTTACTGTTCCACATAGACATATAACATGTATATATGCATATAAATGTATATACATGCACACTTATGCATAGAATAAATAATTTAGGTATTGGAGCCCATGTTATACTGCGCAGCCCTTAGAAAACGAGGGCCAAAAAGACCTCAAAGAAATAAAGGCTAAAACTTAGCACTAGTTTGGCTAAAAAGCAAGGAATGTGATGTATATATCCCTTTCATCTTAAAATTTCATGACGGTTGTAGGGGACCCCAAACTTTAGGGGGCACCACAATGCTGCGTGCTCACCCCCCCCCCCCTTCACGACATACTGGAACCGCCCCTGTTTGCAGCCATTCCGCTGTGCAATGGTAGCGCGGTACATCCCTGCTCTCATGTTACGCCATTCATGAAGACGTGCTCCACATATGAAGAACGCGTTCATTTCACCTTTTTACGGCTTCTTTTGGACGCGATGAGGAATTACATCGAGGAGGCGCAATGCAAGCGGCACCGGACGCCCGCTTTTACGGCCATATATGGTCATGGAAAACGAGGAGCACTTCCCATTTAATTCAGTTTCAAACACATTATGCTCACACGACTGAAGGCCAGAAAAAACGTGCAACGCTCTGAATATTTGAGATTTCATGGCTGCTTGCTGTTTGGCCATGGGCGTGCCGACGCGAAGTGTAGTATAATCGGGACACCATGGGCTTGAAACGTATTGCTGTGGTTTAGGTCCCATCTAGTGGTACTACAAATAAGGTGTCGAGGAAGCAATCAACTTTACTGAGAGCTCTGTATAGATATGGCAGACATGTTGGGACAGCGTTTCTAATTTTAGCAAATAAATCTA